GAATGCGGAAAATTGTTGTAGTTGTGGATTTTGTTGAATATGTCAAAATCATGAAATAAAAAAAAACGCTGTGAAGTTATTTCTTACAGTTAAGATATGGTTTATATCTCAAATGAAACCTAAAAGATTCTAGTTTATGTTGTGAAATCAGAATATATAAAAGTTAGAATAAAAAAAATCCATAATTAAATCTTGAAAAATTGTTGTAAATGTAGGTTATGCAAAACATTTCAAAAACTTCCATTTAACCTTTAAGTAAAAAAGAACAATTAAGATTATAAATTATCTTAATACCCACTTTATCTTTCCCTGTCTTTCTAAATTTATTTGAAAAATTTATGTCAAGTGTTGTTAAAAGCATTGTACTGAAAGCTTTCAAACGCGATGAACCAATTACCTAACTTAGACAACTTGCTCGTACTCAGTCCCCGGCTATCAACGGCTGTCTTTTTTCATTGACCATTCCGCATCATCTACAGAGTGAGAGTAGTACAGAGTAGAACACGATTCGAAAGTATGAGGACAGTTCTGCTCTTCCGATCGGTTCTTTACTGATTGAACAGACGACCCAAAAGACCGTGTATAAAAGAAGTGTCATCGTGTTTTCGCTAATATGACACCTCGAAAATTTCTTCTATACAGTTTCGATGTGGTGTCTCACGTGAGGTTTTCGCGAAATCGTGTTAATTGACGCAAATACGTGGGACGTGAATTGTGATGAATATAAACAGGTAAACCTATTAACCTTGTTTCTCGATGAGTTCATACATTTTAATTATTGTAGTTTTATAAATATGTTAGAAATATCTTTGATTATATAAAATGAGCTTCGTAAAACGAATTCGTTATCTGGTGATAGTCGTTTCATTTTAGAAAGACACTAAACTAAACAAACCTATTGCTACCTTTCGAATATGTCCGCGTAAGAAACCCAGATCTAGTTCTTTTACTTTTCTATTAATGTATATTGAGAAGGAAATTTGCGACATTTTCACTTGGTCTATTCGTGAAAGTGACATATAAGAATATATGCCTATTCGTATGCAGGAATGAAAACAAAAACGAAAGTTAACTAAGCGTTTTGATGTGGATAGATGTAACAAGGAATTCCATATGGTGTTATTTAATTATTTCAAAAAGAGAAATGAGGAAATATGAATCCAGCGCAATTGTCCAGGAAACTAATCATCAATTTTATTTTTTTGACATTTTTTCACTTGGTTTAGGTAGCACCAACTAAACTTTTTTAATCATATAAATTTATTAGTTTAGTATTTGATTCTATGCGGCTTCTGATATTTGATATATCCCAATTAAATACATTTCATGTGTAAAGCGTATATGCGTTAGGGTTTGTGATATCCCTTGATGAAATATTGAAAACATTCCGAACAAATAAAACCCGGTTCGTAAATAGCGTAAAACGCGAATTTATTTTGTTTAATAAACCATTAATATCGTAATAAACAAACAAATTGGCACCGGTTGGCTTGTTTACGATTGTTGTTTGTGGAACACGTGGACGTTATCAATTTTACATTTGAAAATGTTTAATTTAACTACGGAAATATAGAACTATGTTTTATTTTTTTAAATAGATTTCGAGAACGGAATCATATTGTATCAATATATGGTTCATTTAAGTTTCAAAGAAAGAAAAGCTAATTACTAAAGAAAAAGGGAAATTCAATAAACAATCAAAATTCGCAACAGATTTCTCGACTTTATAGATGATAGATAAGAAAGGAATTCTAATTTAAAAATACGATGAGATTTTGCAATAAAAGCACCTGATTGAATTATTGTTTAACAATTTAGACAAATTAAATTGCAATTAAAGTCGAAAAAGGAATTGATCAACTATATAATCCAAGTAGAAAGGGAAAGGAGGCAAAAAGTAAAAGGAATCGATTCAGGTAATGCTTTATAATTTGTTAATAACGATCTGAGAATTGCTTCCGATCAAAATGTGTTAAATACCAAACAAAAAGAGAATTATTTGAATTATATAATTGAAGTTCTTTATCTGTAACATCGATTCATCGACAATCTGATAAAGAAGATCCCGAGATAATTAAAACCAAATTAAAAGAAATTATTTCCTTGAGCTTTGGATTAATCCCCACTTGTTAAGGTTTGTTAATTAATCATGCGCATAAAATCTCGACTATGTGAGGTGTCTCGTTGAAGCGGGTTTTCGTTTCAATCCTCGATTTATTTTAGAGACCTGTTCTCGCGTGTTATAAGCCTGTTTGGGGTTCTGTTACTTCTTGCGGTGAATGGGAAGGTTCGCCTCTTACCTGCTGGTTATATCGATCAACTTTTAGAGGAAATAAATAAAACGTAAGGTGTGAACCTATAACGATTTTTAGAGCTAATATAAAACAGATAATCTCAACCCATAACCTAAATGAGATGAAGGAAGATTTGGTGTATAAATTGTTTATAAAGAATCAAAGTGATAATACTCTATAAAGAGATTCAGTTGAAGAATTACCTTTTTTTGGTGAAAAAGTGTAAAATTTTAATAAAATTAATATAAAACCGAAACTAAATGAGATGGAGAAAAATGTTTTGTACATAAATTGTTGATAATGATTCAAAAAGACATTATCCATAACCAGAGTAAGCCAAGTTATTACCATTTTTTGGTTAGATTGGGGAAAACTTTGAAATATCAAAATTAAGTTGATTTTGTTTTTAAAATCAATCTCAACCTAAAACAAAATGAGATAGAGGAATATATTTTATACATAAATTGTTTATAATGAACCAAAAATATATTATCCATAACCAGATTCAGCTAATTTAGTGCTATTTTTTGGTTAGAAAGCGTGATACCCCAAAATATTAAAATTGCCTTGACTTTGTTGTTAGAATTAATCTCAACCTAAAACTAAGTGAGATAGAGGAAAATGTTTTGTACATAAATTGTTTATAATGAACCAAATAGACATTATCCATAACCAGATTCAGCCAAGTTATTTCCATTTTTTAATTAGATTGCGTAAAATTCCAAAATATTAAAATTAAATTAGTTCTGTTTTATAATTAATCTCAACCTAAAACTAAGTGCGATAGAGGAAAATGTTTTATACATAAATTGTTTATAATGAACCAAATAGACATTATCCATAATCAGATTCAGTTAACTTAGTGCTACTTTTTGGTTAGAAAGTGTGAAACTCCAAAATATCAAAATCGACTTGACGTTGCTGCTAAAATTAATCTCAATTTAAAACTAAATGAGATAGAGGAAAATGTTTTATACATAAATTGTTTGTAATGAACCAAATAGACATTATCTATAATCAGATTCAGTTAATTTAGTGCTATTTTTTGGTTAGAAAATGTGAGACCCCAATATATCAAAATTGACTTGACTTTGTTGTTAGAATTAATCTCAACCTAAAACTAAGTGAGATAGAGGAAAATGTTCTATACATAAATTTTTTATAATGAACCAAATAGACATTATCCATAACCAGATTGAGCCAAGTTATTTCCATTTTTTGATTAGATAGCGTAATACTCCTAAATAATAAAATTAAGTTGGTTCTGTTTTTAAAATTAATCTCAACCTAAAACTAAGTGTTATAGAAGAAAATGTTTTGTACATAAATTGTTTATAATGAACCAAATAGACATTATCCATAACCAGACTCAGCCAAATTATTTCCATTTTTTGATTAGATAGCGTAAAATTCCAAAATATTAAAATTAAGTTGGTTGTCTTATAATTAATCTCAACCTAAAACTAAGTGCGATAGAGGAAAATGTTTTATACATAAATTGTTTATAATGAACCAAATAGACATTATCCATAACCAGATTCAGCCAAGTTATTTCCATTTTTTGATTAGATAGCGTAAAATTCCAAAATATTAAAATTAAGTTGGTTGTCTTATAATTAATCTCAACCTAAAACTAAGTGCGATAGAGGAAAATGTTTTATACATAAATTGTTTATAATGAACCAAATAGACATTATCCATAACCAGATTGAGCCAAGTTATTTCCATTTTTTGATTAGATAGCGTAATACTCCTAAATAATAAAATTAAGTTGGTTCTGTTTTCAAAATTAATTTCAAAATTAATATTAAAATTAAATTAGTTCTGTTTTATAATTAATCTCAACCTAAAACTAAGTGCGATAGAGGAAAATGTTTTATACATAAATTGTTTATAAAGAACCAAATAGACATTATCCATAACCAGATTCAGTTAACTTAGTGCTATTTTTTGGTTAGAAAGTGTGAAACTCCAAAATATCAAAATCGACTTGACTTTGCTGTTAAAATTAATCTCAATTTAAAACTAAGTGAGATAGAGGAAAATGTTTTATACATAAATTGTTTATAATGAACCATATAGACATTATCCATAACCAGATTGAGCCAAGTTATTTCCATTGTTTGATTAGATAGCGTAAAATTTCAAAATAATAAAATTAAGTTGGTTCTGTTTTTAAAATTAATCTCAACCTAAAACTAATTGTTTATAATGAACCAAATATACATTATCCATAAAAAGATGCTGCTAACTTAGTGCTATTTTTTTGTTAGAAAGTGTCAAACCTCAAAATATTAAAATTAAGTTTATTTTTGTTATTAAAATCGATCTCAACTCAAAACCTAAATTAGATAGAAAAAAGATTAAAGAAATTATGAGATACATTTAAGCAACATTATGCTATAATTTTTTATATCTAAAAAGCGTCGAGAAACATGAACATAAATTATTGAATTTATATATTGAATGTGTTATTAATTACTACATATTGACAATTTTGAACTTATTATGAATTGAATATAACTGCGGAATACCAATTACCTATATTTAATTAATATTTGATTATTAATTGAGTTGAATTAGGAATTTGCGGTATGAAAATAATCTGATTTTGAATATCTCTAGTATTTCGTTATTTTAGTTATATTAGTTATTTTAGTTATTCGTTAATATAACAAAATTAATTAAATCATTTTTAAATTCCAGAATTCCTCGCTTCCTCGCTTGTAACAGCGGTTGATCTAATTAATATGGACGTTAAGCAGTTATAAATCCCCTTTTAGAACAGGAACCTTAAAAAGAAAGAACCCAAAAAAAGTCAAGACCACAATGGAGACCGAAGAACTTATCAAGCTGGTAGATGGCATCTACAAGGTGAGTAAGAACGCGGGGGCAGTTGAGTTCCTTAGGGAAGTGAGTTCCCCGATTTACATTTAAATTAAAACCACTCGCGGAAGTTTTCTTTGGGACACCGGAGCGAATACATTTACTAACCTGCCACCGGCATCAGTGCGGTGTTGTGCGCGGTTTACTGACTTTGTTTAATGAATAAATGCATTACAATTTCATAATATCGAGATTCAACGAATTTCAAAATTCAATGTTTTTATTTCTATTTAATCGTTGCGAGGCTAGGTAGAAGTTGCTTTTTAATAAATATGCTTGTGGCGTGCTACAATGTTAAAACCGTTAAATCCGCGGTATCTTCATGCTGGTAGTGGAACGTTGTAGGGTCGACGTTGTGAATTTTCAATGGTACGTTGGGTCGGGTCGAAGATTCGCAAGATTGAACCTCTTGTTGGAGGAGAATTCTCGATGTTGGTCGTGTGAAAGTCGCGACTTCGTTGCACACCGACCCACAGAATACGTACATTAAATGCTAATGACAGGTCAGTGTACCATCGAAGGTATACGGGTTTCGATTTTCCATTCAAGATTAACGGTTTCACTTTTACTTTTGAATCAAGTGAGTTAGTTTAATTGGAAGATTAAAGAGTATGTATATTTTAAGTATACAGTGTTCGCCAAAAAGTCGACAACATTGTATCTGCATTTCTAAAATTTTATTTATGTGGGATGTTCATCCTGATGTTTCGATCTAAAATACTTTTAAGATAATCATCACTTCAAGTTAACCGGAACTAGACCACAACATCGTTATTTTAAATGGAATTTTATGGTTTTTATTACATATTATATTTATTATACAAAAATAGGTTTACTTTGATCAGGATTGTTGATACCTAGAACTTTTAAGCTACAATTTAACATACGTATCATGTTAAGGTTCTTATAAATGCAGTCGATATAATGTTTTGAAAGTTTCGCATTTTTTTGGATTTATAAATTGGACAATTCCTTCTTTATTTATTTTTTTTTGTAAATTTTAATAATATTGTCTTATAATTTTTATATCATATCATAAACTGGAATCCTTAAGCTTCAATTTAACATACATATCATATTATGATACTTAAAAATGCAGACGTAATGATTTTTTGAAAATTTCTTATTATTTTATTCATAAATTTAACAATTACTTCTTTAATAATTTTTTCCTGAAAATTTCGATAATATTACATTATAGATTTTATATCATATTATCATAAACTAGAATCTTTAACCTTCAATTTAACGTGCGTATCATATCATGAACCTTAAAAATATAGTCGGTATGATTTTTTGAAAATTTCGTATATTTTTGATTTATATATTTAACAATTTCTTCTTTAATAAGTTTTTCCTGGAAATTTCAGTAATATTATCTTATAACTTTTATATCATTTCACAAACTAGAATCTTTAAGCTTTAATTTAATATATATATCATATCATGATTCTTGAAAGTACAGTAAATATAATTTTTTGAAAATTTCGTATCATTGTTTGATTTATAAATTTGACTATTTCTTCTTTAATAACATTTTTCTGGAAATTTCATTAATATTATCTTGTAGTTTTTATATCACATCATAAACTAGAATCTTTAAGCTTCATTTTAACGTGCATATCATATCATGATTCTTAAAAATGCAGTAGATATGATTTTTTGAAAATTTCGGGTTATTTTTGATTTAGCAATTTCTTCTTCAATAATCTTTTCCTGGAAATTTCAAAAATATTGTCTCATAACTTTTATATCATATCATAAACTAGAATCTTTGAGCTTCAATTTAACGTGCATATCCTATCATGATTCTTAAAAATACAGTGGATATGACTTTTTGAAAATTTTGAGTTATGTTTGATTTATAAATTAGACTATTTCTTCTTTAATAATTTTTTTCTGGAAATTTCATTAATATTATCTTGTAGTTTTTATATCTTTTCATAAACTAGAATCCTTAAACTTCAATTTAACGTGCATATTATATCATGATTCTTAAAAATACAGTAGATATGATTTTTTGACAATTTCGTATCATTGTTTTATTCATAAGTTTGACGATTGCTTCTTTAATAATCTTTTACTGAAAATTTCGTTAATATTATCTTGCAGTTTTTATATCATATCATAAACTAGAATCTTTAAGCTTCAATTTAACATGCATATCATATCATGACTCTTAAAAATACAGTAGATGTGATTTTTTGAAAATTTCGGGTTATTTTTGATTTATAAATTTGACTATTTCTTCTTTAATAACTTTTTTCTGGAAATTTCATTAATATTATCTTGTAGTTTTTACATCATATCATAAACTAGAATCTTTTAGCTTCTATTTAACGTGCATATCATATCTTGATTCTTAACAATACAGTAGATATGATTTTTTAAAAATTTCGGGTTATTTTTGATTTATAAATTTGACTATTTCTTCTTTAATAATTTTTTCCTAGAAATTTCAATAATATTATCGTATACTTTTTATATCATATCATAAACTGTAATCTTTAAGCTTCAATTTAACATACATATCATGTTATGATTCTTAAAAATGCAGTTGATATGACTTTTTGAAAACTTCTGATTATTTATAAATTTAACAATTTCTTCTTCAATCATCTTTTCTTGGAAATTTCAATAATATTATCTTATAGTTTTTAATCATATCATAAACGAGAATTTTTAAGCTATAATTTAGCATAGATATCATATCAAGGTTCTTCAAAATACAATCGTTATGATTTTTTTTAAATTTCATGTTATTTTTTACAAATTTCACTACGGTATATCGTTTTTTGATACAATATAAAAACATTTTCTCTTGGAATATACTTGCTAACCGCTATTTTGCCGTTACGATCCGATTGTTATAAATCTAAACGGTAAACGCCTCCCAGAGTGGCCAATAATTCCACTCGATAAAACGAGGGGCAATTTATCTTTGGGACTTCGAAGAGGACGCGGATATTGCAACGATTTCTTCGCTTGTACGTTATTAATTATTGTCGCCTTACGGGCTTTCTCTTTTACTCGTTAAATTCAGTGTTATAACGGGACTGTAAGACAAATTGTTTGTAATTGTTTTAAAGACATGCGTGCAAATATGGCTAATTTTTCGTTTTTTCGTTTTCAGTAATTTACGCGCGGATACGTGTCCTCGTTTCGCTTCTTTTATTTTATTTTTTTTTTCGAAATCTCATAGAAATTTATCGTTTTGAATCATTTCGTGCTAATCAAATGAAATGTATGTAATAACGTTAGAGTTAAATCGATCGTATCTCCAGTTTATTTGACGTTTTCGTTTGAGTTTTGAATCTACATCGTTGTTTGCCGTAGCTAACAAGTTTACATCGTCGAGTCTCGGTGATTCTTTTTTCAGCAAATAACGCGACCCTCTTCACGGGTTGACATCATTAAAATTTTATTGGATTTCGCGTCTCCCAAGTAGAAAAAAGGAGAATGAGCAAATTGGAAAAACGTTTACAAATTTATGGATGCTACCTTGAATGAGAACCAGATTTAATTTTTATTTTCATTAAAATTTCCATAATCTCCGTATGAAGTGGTAATTTGTTTTATCGGGATGTATCTAGTTTTGTTTGAATTAAAAAAATTTAATTTAACTTGATAGAGGAATTAATTAAAATCGGTTTATCCGACTCGTTCATTCGCGAGGGTTTTTCATTACAGCTTTAATTCAAGCTTTTTAGGCTACAGTGACATTCCATTGTTAAAGCTCTGACGTCGCCTAAAATTTATTCCGTCGCTGCGCGAGTTCGCTAAAATATTAAGTATATTGCGGCGTTCCGAATTAACATGACAATACACGAAAATTTACGGCGGAGAACGTACGAAGGCAGAAGTAATAAAGATTACAGTCACCTAGGCGCGGTTTGAACTTCTTGTCCGAACTTATATTCGTTCGACCATACCAATTTAAAGATCACAATTTTTACATTTCCCTATTTGTGTTGATTAAATAGAAATTACCCTGAATTCGAACTAATTGAAATTTTGACAAACAAAAGCTTTTATAATTCGGTACTTATTAGTTGAAGTAATATGATGGAATCAATCGGTTTAACCCTACAGGATTTGAAATATGGTATCGAATGATTACGCACTTGATTTTATGGGAGTTAAACACACCGAAGAGCGGCGGTAATTCGCGGGGAACGGTTATTTCAACGCCGAATAGCACTCGAAAGCGATTTTAATTACGTGCTGCATCGGATAATTGTTTCCAGTTAATAGTATAATGAACGCTCACCGTCCGCTAGAGTTCAAAATTTAAATGCGCGCAAGTTCTGAGTCAATTATACCCGGTTAAATTGAAATTCCGAACTTGGCGAGATGTCGAGGCATTTTACCGGTACCTTTACGGTATATTACTAATTTAAAGATGCCCGACGTGTATCCACGTGGAATCGCGATTTCTCTAGATATCTGAGAGACAACGCCGGAATAAGATATTATTGCTTAGATGGCCCCGATTTCCACGGTCTTCCCAAGACTGTCGCTTTCATCACGTCTCGTTCGTGGTAATCCTCGATCGTGCAGAATCCTTTAAAGCACGATTCGGCACTTTATACACTTTCACATATTTTACACGAAATACTAAATGTTTCCTTTGATTACGATCTTTGGTTAGTTACATATGTAGCTAAATGGAACCCAAAGTGGTTTGTAAATAGAAAATGTGCTATTGAATTTTGGCGAGTCCACCTGCGACCGGTTCGCCATGGATCTATTTACAATACAACTTCATCGAAAATTCGTGCGGACGGGGCTTCGCAGTCCACAATCGAATAGTTGCATTAAATTCAATTAAACCCTTCCTTTGTATAACGCAACCCGATTCAGCACATAAATTACTAGATTGCTGCAAGCGTACTGCAACGACCCGTGTATATTGTGGTACATATATGTGCTGGAGAATGGTGGTCAATGTTAAATCACAAATTTTCCTTGTTACTGAACTAATAATT